CACGACCTCAGACAGTCACTGAGGTCAGATCATTCTTAGGAATGTGCGGCTACTATAGGAACTTCGTTAAGAACTATTCTACAGTCGCCTCTCCTTTGACTGATCTAACTCGACTTGACACGCTGTGGGACTGGAGTGATGAGTGCGAGAGTGCTTTCAAGAGATTGAAGCATGCACTCATGAATCATGAAGTTCTCATGGTTCCCGATCCACAGAAGCCATTCATAGTGACCACTGACGCAAGCCAATACGGCATTGGCGCAGTGCTGGCTCAGCAGGATGGGAAAAAGTTGAGACCGATTGAGTACATGAGTAAGAAGATGCCGTCGAAGAAGTTGGCTAAGTCCACCTACGAAAGGGAACTCTATGCTCTCTACAAGGCACTTGTCCATTGGAGACACTTCCTTTTGGGAAGGTTCTTCTATCTGAGGATTGATCATCAGACCCTCAAATGGATCAATACTCAACCGTCTCTTTCTGATGCACTCAAGCGATGGATTGAGGTCATAGACCAATATGACTTCAAGCTTGAGTACCTGAAGGGAGAGTACAACAAGGTTGCAGACGCGCTATCTCGAAGAGCAGACTACCTAGGTGCGCTAGTTTCTGACTTTGGCGTATCTGAAGAAGTAACTCAATCATTGGTGTGAGCCTATCAGGAAGACCCTGTCACGATGGACATCATCCGCAAACTTCAGGCAAAAGACAAGGCCACAAAAAGTGAGTTCGTGATGGTGGACGGGCTACTCTATCTTGATAAGGTCGGAATACATAGATTGGTAGTTCCATCTAGTGAACAGTTGCGTAGTTTATTTTTAGGCGAATGTCATGACGCAACTGGGCACTTTGGCTACAAGAAGACGAGTGCTAACTTAGTACAACGACTTTGATGGCCCAGAATGCTAGATGACGCAAAGAAGTATGTTGAGACCTGTCAGGTCTGTCAGCGGGACAAGCCGCGAACTCAAGCGCCGCTTGGGTTGTTGAACTTTTTACCTATTCCTGATGGTCCAGGACTGAGTGTTTCCATGGATTTCATGGACACCCTAGTGACGGGCACGAGTGGTAAGAGACACATTTTCGTCATCATTGACCGATTCACTAAGTACGCTAGACTAGTACCGATGCCAGAGACAGCCAGGACAAAATACGTCATCAAGTTGTTCAAGGACAACTGGGTAAGGGACTTTGGTTTACCAAAGACCATCATTAGTAACTGAGACGTCCGATTCACAAGTGAGTTGTGGAAGAAGACTGCGGAACAGATGGGCAGTCAACTTCAGATGACTTCAGGGAATCATCCCAAAGCCAACGGACAGGCCGAACAAATGAATAGAGTTGTGCAACACTTGCTGAGGCATTACATCAAGCCCAACCAGGATGACGGGGATGAGCAGTTACCTCTCATCGCCAGCCTGTACAACAATGCTATACATAGTAGTACCGGCGTTAGTCCTAACCAGCTGCACTTAGGATGGAAGCCTACATCAGCACTAGACTTCCTCCTACCTAAAAACCGACCTGCTGTAACTCCAGACACACTTGAATACGGTGTGCAGTATGAGAAGTTGCTGCAAGAGGCTGTTGAACATATGAAGGAGGCTCAGCAAGCCATGATTGCTTTTGAGAATCAACATCGCAGACAGTCCACATTTCAGGTAGGGGAACGTGTCTAGGTCAAGGGTAGTGAGTTAGGACAGGAGTTCGGAATATCTTGCGAACTAATGCCTCAATACTTTGGTCCTTGGGAAGTCTTGGATATCGTGGGAGATGAGTTGGATGGTTCCACATATGTTATTCGTGTCCCTGGACACCTACGCACTCACCCAGTCTTTCATGCCTCAAAGCTTGCACCTTTCGTTGAGACTGATCAATTCCCTTCCAGAAGATCGATGCTGCCCCCAACCATGGATGGACAAGTCGACATCGACGACATTGTGGATCACAGGGATATGCCTGTTCAGAAGCCACTGGGTCGAGGAAGACCTCCTAAGCCCAAGAGAGAGTACTGGATCCTGTGTCGTCGCCCGTACGTCGTACGGGGGGTCCCCATACGGGCCGTACGGACGGACGTACATACGCTCGTACGGCCGTACGGATGCTCCCGGTACGAGCGTGCTACGGGCCTGTGGGGGGTTGCTAGGGGGGGCTTAAGGGGTTGGGGTGTTGGAATAGGTCAGTGGGTGCGGTGCTGTGCTGTTGAAAAAAAAAAAAAAAAAAAAAAATTGGGTGAAAAAATGAGAAAAAAAAAAAAACTGGCCGTGTTCCCACGGGCCTCAGCCTGGCACCCACAGCCGTGGCCCAGGGCAGTTTCGGAGGCCCTCCGAAACTGCCCTGGGCCGCGGCAGTGGGTGCCAGGCTGAGGCCCGCGGGGACACGGCCAGTCATTTTTTTTTTTTCTTATTTTTTCACCAAAAAAAAGAGGGAGGCACTGAGGCAAAGGCCAAGGACGTCTGCTTTAAAGTGAGGTTGTGGGCGTCAACATCCACAGTTTTGTGTTGTCGCCCACATTCCTGTTGAGGCTATTGTCGCCCACGCAACAGTGCTCGTGGACGTTGTTGACGGCATGACACACACACACACACACACACACACACACAC